TATATATTTGAAGTTTTTGGAAACCAACTGTCCTATCAATTTTGTAAAAAGTTTACTATGTTGAATTGACATTGTACAGAAATTAACAGCCATATTGGTCTAGAATTATTAAACACATTTTTCCATTTGTACAGGGGTAACATGCTGTATTAAATATGTAAGGTCTTGTATATATGGGTTTGATTACAGAAACTACTGAAGTATTATCTAAGTAAGCCCTGACACTAGCTATCCTGAGCTCATGTCAGGATTCCCAGGGTCCAGCCCCAAGGACTCTACTTTAGTGGCCAGTTTTTAGCAATAGATAGTAAACTACACTTCTCCTCTACCAGGTTTCCAAGACTTCCTTCTTAGGTTTGGATAATTTGCCAGATACCTCATAGAACACCAGGAATCCCTATAATTATAGCTATCTATTTGTTAAATAGGATATTACAGGGGACAAAAATGACATGAACTGAAGAAGGCAAAGTACCTAAGAAAGGATGGAGTGGCATGTCTTGTCCCAGAAGCCTGACATCCTGAAGGTCCAACTGATGAGCAACATGAAACCATGTTGAGCCCTGTGCTTTCAGGATTTTAGGAAAGTGTCACTGTACAGCCCTTACGAATTACACCAGTGGACAACAGTATTGATCCCAACCTTTGGGCCCTCTCCGATTCTGAGAGGCTCTGTTGTGAAAGTGCAGTTACACACGCGTGTGTCTCAGTGGAGTATCTTGTAGATGCACCTCCAGGGAGCGAAAATATTCCCATAATGCAGGAAATTCTGGGAGGCTCAGGTGCAGTGTAAGAACTGAGATAAATGCCAAACATTTGAACAGAATATTATCCGATTAGTCCTATCAAAAAGGGATCGGGAGCCCTACGTCAGGAAAGAGTGGCAGGAAGAGCGCATGTGTTGATTATATCATGCTGTACTCTCCACCTTTTCTAATATCTAAACACTTGATTAGCAATTCCTTTAGCATATCTCTAAACTGCTTATCTGAACATTTTATCAGTGGTTCTGTATTTAAGTTACAAGTTTTGTTCCTTTTACCATTTTTCCAGAAAAAAATACATTTTTCTCATAAATACACTCCCCACAGACATCAGTTATGTCCTACTCTCATACACAGTAACAGAAAACAAATTCAACATTTTTACAAAGTTATGCAAAACTTTTTAGAAAGTTTTTTGAACAATCTAAAAAA